AATCAGGTTTGCCTGAACTCTCTGGTCTCTAGCTTAAGAAAACATGATCAATATTTTTTGAATGAATTAATGAAACGAAGGAGAAGACAGGAGTCTTCTTGTTGTATATATAAGGTGGCCAGCAGAGTCTCAATAGAAATGAGTCCCTGTGTTCCTATTGCTCTTTAACTGGTGGGAGGGGAGAGGTGAAGCACGAAAACCGTTAGGATCTGCTAGACGCTGTTGTCATCAGCTGGCAGAAGTTATCACAGTTGTGGAAGAAGCAAACTGGGTAGATCTGCCAATGACCAGGAGGACTGAATGACTGAGTGCTGAGGCCAGGGCTGCCTTAGGGTGAACGGTGCTGGTGCTGCCTGCTCTGGGTGGCCAGGGCAACTTGTGCAAACCCTCTTTGTTGAAAGGTCGGCAGAGACCGCAGAGTTCAGGCAAACCTGATCCGTTCATTCAGAGCAGCCTGACTGAGTCACGGGTGGCTCCTCAACCTGTCCGGATAAGGGTGGGAGTGATTAGGCAGGCTAGCTTAGCTCGTACTGGTTTGCAATACTGTCTGTGCTGCCCTCTTCATTCCCTTTTCACCTACCTTTAAATTCACCTACCCCTTTGCCTTCGTAAAATCTAAGCGATTAACTGTTGTCTCTTAATCTATGTCCTAAATCTTTGCATCACTTTTTCTTTGATTATGAAGTCCCCTTTTGAATTACTTAATTGCCCCATTATTGCACGTATCTTACTGTGTCCTTGTCTAGTTTGTCTGTGCTGAAGGACAGAGTCAAGTTCAGTCTACAAAGCATCAAAGCGTCCCATGACAAGGCTGCTTCTTAGTGGTATTTTGTTCCTAGAGGGTCGGTTCAAACTGAAATGATCCACAGTTCCACAAGCGGCTCTTGGAGCCTCTAGAAAAGGCACCACACTCGCCAGTCCCGTGCTACCAGGCATGGTGCCGTTTCGGGCTTGCAGAAAGTTGTCTCGGTCCCCTGTCTGCCCCACACGGAACCGCTGGGGAAGAAACGGAAAGCAAGCAGGCGGGGTCCCGATTTGCCCGCGCGAAGCGCCCCTCCCCGGGCGCCAAGGCCAGCGGGCGCTCCAGCCGCGCGAAGGGGCGGGGCGGCCTTGGGCGGCCACCAATGAAATCGGGAGCCGGCGCGGGCCGTGCGCGTGACGCAGCGTAGCGGGCTGCGAGGCCGGGGGCGGAGGGGCCGGGCAGTCGGGCGCTTTATTTGCGTCTGCGGGGCGCTGGCTGCGCTGCGAGTCTTGGGCGTCCGGAGAGCGGTCGGGAGGCGACCTCGCTGCCCGCCGCGCGCTGCGGCTTCCCGGCTTTACCCTCCTGGCCGAGGTACCCGCTGCCGGGCTCCGGCCCCAGGTAAAGCCCACGCTCCCCGAGCCCCTCACTTCCCGCCTGGGTCCGCCCGCCTCAGCCGGAGAGGAAGGGGACAGAGGCGGCGGCCGCGCCTCGGGCCCGGTGGGCCTGGCCGCGTCCTGGGCTGAGGAGCTGGGGAGGCGGCCGGCGGCCGCCGAGGGCGAGGCTCCCCCGTCCTGGCGAGTTTGGGGGATGGGGAGGGCGGGGAAGTTACCTTCGGGCGCCCGGAACGCGGCAGCTTTTTAAACCTTGGAGGTTTTTTCAGTGTCTCCCAGATCCTGTGGCGTCTCTCAAGCCGGTAGTAAAGAAAGTTAGGAATTAGAAGCCATTTAATGGCTTAAAAAACGGAACCAAAAATGCACTCAGGAAGTCATCTTCTAATTGATGTGGGAAGAAAGTGTGTTGTGACGGGATGGATGGCGCTTCAGGACATCCAAATCTGCGTGGGCACCAAAGCCTTGAATCAAGCTCGTATTTTATTTGTACCTCTTAGGATGTAATTACGTTTCTGTCCTTCTTAAATGTTAATGGCCGTGCGCTTTAAATGACATATCTATTTAAAAGTTATTTGTAAGCGAGAAGCAGCTGTAAGCTCTATTCTCCATATTTACATATAGATTAAATTCATTGGTCGCTTATTAAGTGGTTGCCGTCTCTTTAAACTACCTTTTTTCAGAGTGTTTGCTTTTCCCTTGACGTAGACTTCAGCTTGAAGCTTCTTTTTTTTTTTTTTTTTTTTGCTTTAAGTTGGGCCGCATCGGTGAATGACTTTTAAGGGAGTTTGAGTGTTGTCTAGGCCAGAGAATGGATTTGCGAAGGGGCCCCCAGGCGTTCAAGAGTAATCGTTTAAAAATGCACGTGTCTCAGTGCATCACGAGCTTAGAACTCTCAAAGAGTTTGCGTTCTTTTAGGATAAATATCAAAATACTGCTGCCACTCTTTCTATCTCCACTTCATCATCGGCCACCTTCCTCCCTCCTGTCTGGGCACAAGCCACACAGGTTTTTATTTTTGTTCTAAGAAGGCCTCTTTGCTGTCTCCTGGTGTCTAGGCGTTTCTTCCACCTCTGACGCCTTATTCTCTCCCTGCCCCCAACGCCTATGCGTTCCTGGATTATCAGCCCACATCACATATGACTTCCTCAAGAAGCCGGTCGTATCCCTGTGAAGCCCTCCTAGCACTTTGTTTTCCTTAGCAGCAGTAAATCATCAGTTGTATGAGTTGTTAAAGTTACTTAGATGCTTCCGTTGGTGGCTCTGCTAGCATGTACATTTCATGAAGGCTAGACTAGTCCATCTTATTTATGTCTTAATTATCAGAGTCTCGCCCAGCCCTTGGCACAATGAAAGAATGAAGGATTTGGAGGGCAGAGGAGGGAACTTTTGAGTGGGAAATATTAACTAGGGAAGAGTGCCTGATGGCTTTGGAAAGGAAATGGAAAAAGTTTTAAACAAAGTCCAGTTAACAAAATTTATTTTTGGAATTTATCACCTTGGATAAATGATTATACTGACAATACAGATGTAAATAGAATTTGTCTGTGTTCTTTAGTTTTGCTAATTGATTGAATGACCCAGCTCTTTGATACATAAATATTGTAGGGTTGTACTAGGGTAAACCATTGTTTGGAAGGAAGAGGGAGAAATTTTATGTTTTAGATTGTAAATTTGTTTGCGGTTGTCTCTCTTTCCCCTCACTGAACTTGGGAGTGATCGAGCAAAATTCTTCACCGAGAGCAGCTGCTCAATATTTATTTGTTTTATAGATTTATAGGTTCTTTTAAAAGCTTTGTTAATAGGAACACTGCAAGCAGGCTCAAGCGGGACACTTGTTTCCCATATGGTTCATTTGTTTCTCAAACCGGTTCTTTCTGTTTTGCTTTCTTAGGATAAGTTAGATACTGTCACACTGAACATTACAAAACCAGTGTACAGATTGGATTCTTAAATAATTGTTCAATCACTGTGTTGTTTTTCAAATAGCTGTTTAGTCAGCTTTGCGTCACCTTAGGTATAAATTCCAACAAATTTTTAAATTTGGAAACTCAGTTTCCACTGTCGCTTACTGGCTATGTGACTTTTAACAAGTTTCATAGTATTTCCGAATTTAGAGTGGAAATGTTAAATGAGATGTGTGATGCCCCCACCCTGGCGCCCAGCACTGTAAATGTTACTGGCTTAGTAAACATTAGCACCTGGTGGTTTTACTGCTGGACGACTGGAGAGACTAGTCTTATGATCACTTTTCTACTTCCTCAATTCATTTTGCAACCCCATCCAGTATATTTCTTTGTACTTCTTCCCCAAACTGATTGTACAAGTAAATCGTAGCTGTTAATGTTCTCAAATTGTGAAAATATCCCGTGTTACGCTCTCCCCTTTTTTTCTCCCTTTTTTGTGGTCCTGCTTGAATTTTCCATGATATACCATAGATTACCTCTTGAATCCTGACTTGATTTTGAACATTGCCTGCTCCTGATTCTCTTCTAATCTCTCCTAGGCCTTGCTTTTTTACTGTTAGTTAACTGCCTTGTAATATTGGGAAAATTACTTAACCACTTGTAAAATGGAATAATAGTATCTACTGCATAGGTTGTTGTGAGGTTAAATGAGCCATAGTAAGTACTAGGTAAATGTTAGCTTTATATTATTTCCTAGGTAACCTCTTTTCTTGATTTATGGTCTCTAACTGGGAGAGTTCCTTCCTGTGCCTTGGCCTTAGCTGCTGCCAGTACACTGATGAATCCAGATTCCTGTCTTCAGTGCACACTTGCATATTCATCTGCCTATTGGTCATCATCACTTGGCTGACCCACAGGCACATCGTATTGAGTTCACCTACTCCTTTCTCTTCTCCTGTAGTTACTTAGTTTAATGCCACACCACAGCCTTAGTCAGCTGAATTAGAAATCTCGCTTGGGATCTGTTATTTCCAACTGAGGCCACCTGGATAGTTCATAGATGCCTCAGCTTAATGTTTATAAATTTCTCTTATCTCCCTTAATGTTGTCTTCATGAAATCATTTGTTCATTTAATAAACGCATGTCACCTGAGGCTTACTTCAAGGCTTTTTCGTTTTTTGTGTGATCTCATTGTTCTGCCAGTCTCTCCTTTCTCCAGCACGTCCTCCATAAGGTTGCTTGAGTTGTCTTACTCTAAGACAAACAGCAAGTCACCATCTTGTTGAAAAACCTCTGCCAGCTTGTTTATGTGTTAAGTTCCAAACTCCTTAAGGGCCCTTGACCTTTTGTCCTTGCCCTTCCTGTACCCTGTGCTCCAGCCTTAGTCCTTCTCTTCAAGATTAATTAACTCAGATTTTACCTTCTTCAGAGAAGGCTTCCTAATTGCCCCTCAGTGCTGTTGGGCACCAGGCCTGTATTCCTTTGATACTCTACGTGCATCTCAATTACTGTTCTGTAATACCACTAGATGTTATATTTTTATGTCTTTCGTCCACTAGATTTTCACTCCTTGAGGGCACTAACAGTTGTAGTTATCTTTGCATCCCAGGGCCTGGCACGTTGTAGACCTCAATAAAATGTTTGAAATAATGAATCCGTCACCAAGGTCTGTACTTGTTTCATCTTTTTTGTAGACTGCTCTCCCTCCCATCCTGTTTTGATGCTTAGCAAACTTCTATTCCTGTTTTGAACTCTGGCTCTAATGTCACCTCCTCCATGAGGACTTGTTTGACTTCCCTAAGTGGTTAGTTATGCCTTCTCCTGATAGAGTTTGTGCGTGTGTGTGTGTGTGTGAAGAATACAATGAGATAGACCTCTGTATTATTAAAACACATTTATCCAACATGATTGTAGAAAGAGAAGCTTTATAGACATGACTTTTCAGATAATTGGCACATATCTTTTAAGTGTCAGAACTTAAAAAAGAATAATTTCAATGCAAATTAAAAATTTTTTCTTTGCCTTCTATGTTTAAACTACCATAGCCCTTTTCAGATGTGCCATGGTCGTTAAAGCGTGAACTTCAGCTGAGGTCTGCTTTGATACAGTGATGTATTGGGGGCTCATCAGAAACAACACGTTTGGGCCTGCACTAAAAGACCTGTGCTTGCTCTCTTTCTTTTTTAATGTTGATTTCTACTTTTAAAGTTTTCTGTCTTTACTGTTATCTATAGTTATGCTTCTGACAGTCACTCCTTTTTTTCTTTGAAAATGGGAACAAGGTTACCTACCTCATAGGGTTATTCTTAGGATTAAAGGAGGTAATAATGTGCACGAGGTCCTATCAGAGTTTAGCAATTCTAATAATGTTTATTCTAACTATTTGAATTTGTTTCAGAACAGTCTCTCAAGTTTGAGAGATTTTCCGGTGGAGTAAGGGGCATGGCATTTGTCAGCAAATTGTTTTTCAGTGTCTCCTAGATTACCTAAGTTTAGAATTGGGTCCTGAATGGTAGATGTTATTGAAAAGCCTTAAGCTCTAGAGCGGATCATTTTTATGTGTAGATACACACAACTTAAATCTCAAACTAGGTAAATGTCTTCACTAACTGTGTTGTATTTATTTTTTAGTATTGACAGGCAAAGTTAGAAATAAAAGCAAACATCAGTTCCAATTCTCATACTAGCCTATTAATGATTGTTTCATGAACATGTGAATGGCAATTTTTTATTTCCTTAATGTATGTGAAAATGCTTGGTAACTATTAATTCATTCAACAAATGTGTGTTAACTGCAGACTGTGTTCTAGGCACAGTTGTAGATACTTGGATAAAATGATGAACAAGACAACTCCACTTTTCATGGGGCTTTACAGTCTTGTGGGGTAGACAGACAATAAATGCTGTAATGTATTGGGCAGTAAGTACTCTGAAGAAAAATACAGCAGCATATAAGGGATAAGAGTAACAGGGTGTGAGAGTATTTAGTTAGAGTAGACTTAGGAGTCCCTGAGGAGGGGACATTTGAGCAGAGAATTTGAATGAGGTGAAGGAGAAAGCCCTGAGGGTACCTGAAGGAGATGTTCCAGACAGAGGAAGTATCAAAGAACTTGAAATGGGAGTGAACTTAGCTTGTTCAAGAAACACAGAAGGCCAGAACAGAGCTAGTGAGAGAACTGAGGAGGTTCAGGGTGCTGGGGTAGGGGTTGGGGAGGCGAGTGGCAGATCATGGAGGAGTTAGAACAAAATCCTAGACAATGGTGAGAACTTAGAACAAAATCTGATGTTTGAAGGATTTTGAGCAGGGGAGTACCTTGCTCTGACTTACTCTTTAGAAGGATTACTCTGGGTGCTGTGTTAAAAAATAGACCAGAAGGGAGAAAATGAAGAGAGTCTAGTTAGGAGGCTACTGCAGTGAGAGCTGAGAGAGGTATGGTGAAGGTGGTGGATGTGGCGAGAAGAGGTTAGAATTGGAATGTGTTTTGAAGGCTGAGTGAAATAGACTTGCTGTTGGATTGGATAAGGGATAGTAAAGAATCAAGAGTGACTTCTAAGGTTTTCTTTTTTCTTTTGATCTGGACAAAGAGTGACTGTTAGTCTTAACTGAGGTGGGGAAGACAGAGAGAAGAATGGAATTGGAAGGAGCGTTGGTAGTTCAGTTTTGGTCATGGTAAGTTTGAGATGCCTATAAGACATCTATGTGAAAGTGTCAGGTAAGCCTTTGGAGGTGAGTCTGGAGCTCAGGGAAGTGTGGGCCTGTTGGGAGGAGAAGGGTATTAGAGAATTGATGGGGAGGTATTCGAGTAAGTGAACTGGTGGTGTTCAGAGGGTTAGATGCTGAAAATCAGAATTTTGGACATGGTGCAGGTATTAGTAACTGTAAGTTCTAGGGGAAGGTGTGACTGGGACGTAAGAACAGTTTGTTGGAGACAAGTAGTAGTCAAGGAGCCTGGAGGCCAGGGCATTGGATGGACCAAAGTACATGAATGTTGAAGTAAAAGAAGTGTGGAAGGATTAGTGGTAGAGTTGGGGCAGTGAGTGAGGTGTTCACATCCTCAATGAGTGAGGGCAGTGACCAGGAAGATAGTACATACTTGCAATGAGGAGAGGTACCAGGTATAATAATCCGGCTGAGGTATTTCAGGAAGGGAAGGAGGAACTGTGACCTGAAATTAATGGGAAACAAGGAGGATAACTCTGCCTCCAGGTCCTGTCTTAATGAGAGGTCAAGAAAAAACCCTGGTACACTTCACATATAAGGGCAGTGATCCATGTTAGCGCTTAGAAACCATTTAGCATTAATTACAGTTTGAATGTTGGACTTTATGACAGCTGAAGTAGTTTGCCTGGCTAGTGTTTAGGTTGATAAGGGGATAGATTCACAGTCCTCTTTTAGATGAGTGGTCAAAAAATTCAGCTGTCCTTCATCTCTCACCTGGACAATTGCAGTAGTCTGTTAACTGGTCCCTAACTTATGCTCTCGCCCTCGTTGTGGTCTGCTCTCCACACAGAGGCCAAAATGATCCATCTGTCTATAGAGAAGGAACAATTGAGCTGAGCATTACTCCGATTTGCCTCTGTTTTCTGCAATACCAGCCATGTACTATTAACTGACATGCATGGCAGGAGGAGCTCAATTCAGACATCATCTCTTAATCTTATGATTTATATGATCCGAGGATTTGGTCAAAATTGAGGTGAGCCATTTTCAGTAAGAGTTCTCCTTCCTAACATCTGTATGTATGACAGTGATAAAATTTGTTAATATTTTCTTGGAAACCATATGATGTTTGAGCTGCATTTGAGAAAGTATATAATTATGGTACTTTATTTACCCTCATCTAGTACATCTTTTTTTTTTTTAATTATTAGTTTTTTTTTAAGATTGGCACCTGAGCTAACAAGTGTTGCCATTTTTTTTTCTTCTCCTCAAAGCCCCCCAGTGTGTACTTGTATATTCTCGTTGTAGGTCCTTCTGATTGTGTTATGTGGGACGCTGCCTCAGCATGGCCTGATGAGCGGTGCCATGTCTGCACCCAGGATCCAAACTGGGAAACCCTGGACCGCCGCAGCGGAGTGCATGAAATTAACCACTTGGCCAGGGGGCCGGCCCATCTAGTACATCTTAAAAGCAAACACAAGTAAAATTTGAGGGATGATATGACTTAATGTTTGTGTCATTTAGCATATAGAGTTAGATATGTAGGTATCAGGTCACTTAGTTAATTTTTTAAAGTTGGTGGTTAATAATATAATGTTGGCACTTGAGTGTATATTATCTTTTTTTGTTGTCGTGGTTCTCTGCAGTAGTATTTACCTTTAATTTCTAGAAGAAGAAACAGATTCAGAGGGGATGCGGGTTTACCTGAGGACACAGTGCTGTGATGGAGCAGGGATGTAAACCACCTCTTGGTGTTCTGATTCCAAATCCTGTGCCTTTCCACTGTATTACACTTCTCCCTTCCTGCTAAGTAGAGGAAATTGAGACCAAAGATATAAGTACAGACTATGATAGAAAGATTTTTGTTAAAGAAGAGTTAATGTTTTCTTCTTTGGCTCACTTCTAAAATGAGTAGATTAAACTCTGTGTAATTGTGCAAACTCAGTAGTTCCTGTGTTTTAGCTTTGGGAAGTCTTTGTTCTCTAAAGTAGACTGATGGTTCCTAATCTCATCACTAAGGACTCCTTTAATTTTTTCATTGTTGTGCAGGGTACTCAGGTGTAAATTGTTTCCTTTTGTCCTGTTAAACAACATTTATTTGTCTCTGAAATTTGGTTTCTTAAGTACTATTTTCACCTCTTAATTAGTGCTTTTAATCATCATAACTGATTTTTCACTGGGTTGATAATAGATTCAGCCAAAAGGGAAGTAATGTGTTGCTTGTTTTGTGTGATAAGTGTATAATTGTTTATTTCAGTTATTGAAATGTTTGAAGTCGTTTTTGCATACCTATAGGAGTCCTGAGTCTAGGGGGGCCCCCAACCCCAATTAAGAACAATCGTTGTAGATGTTATTGTTGAGTAGGGTGTATAAGGCTGTTACCAGTAACGATGATGCTCGTTGGCATCCTCCTGGCATATGTTTTCCTCTTGATTCTCTTAAGTTTAGAGCAGTGTCCTATTAGAATAATGGGTTGCGGTATTAACTGAGATTCACTTTCTGTACTAATGCACGCCTCTTGTGCTCCAGATACTCCCCACTAGATTTTGGGGATTCAAAGGGAAAATACCATATGGTCCCTGTTTTTGAGAAGCTTATGCTCAGTGTCAGAGGCAGATAGTATTGCTGTCTGAGTATGGTAGCGTGAATCCGAGGCAAGCCATCTGGTGATTACTGGGTAGGCTGTGGGATCCAGTAGTTCTGGTTTTGAATCGCAGTTCTGCTGTTGGAGAATTATATGATTTGGGGCAAGTTAAATCACCTCCCTAAACTATATTTTTATCATCTGTAAAATGAGGATAATACCTACTTTCCAAGATTGTAAAGACTGAATAAGAAAATAAATGTAAAGGACTTGGCAGCACAGTGCCTGGTGGGTACACAATGGCTGGTCATTAAGTCAAAGCTGCTGCTGTTCCTGCTGCTGTGACTCTTACTTTGAAGGGTGAGTAGGGTTAGCTAGGTAAAGAAAGGGCAGAGGAGAACCAGCTTTCTAGAGATTGGAAAGAGTATATTAGAAGACATGATGACCAAAGACAATAGTTGGGGAATAATAATAGTACCTAATTTAAAGATTAGATTGAGATTAAAATATGTAATACATGTAAAGCACAGAACACTCAAAAGTAGAGTCCCTGTTTTTATTTCCACATTATTCCCTGTGTCATCCTTCCTTTTTGAAACGTCTTGGCTCTTTTTGCATCTTTCTATTGTTTCTCCCCTGATTTCTTTTCTCCTTCTTCCTGTCTTACTTTGAGGGCATCCCTCATAGTTGGTTGTCAGTTCTCACTTCTCTAATCTTTTCTGTTGGAGAGTTAGATGCTCTGCTGCTTCCTCTGTCACTGTTAGACAAATGACTTTCAAATTTATCAGTTGCCCTGACCTCCTTCCTAGGTTCCTTTTAATTGAATCTTATTGATCTACTAAAATTTTAGCAACTTATAAAAAGAAGTTCAAATAGTAGTGTTTGTAGTTTGGATCTGACACAGGTTGCAGAGTTATGAAGATTCAATGAGAAAACTTAAAGCCCCCAGCAGTGTCGTTGCACTTAATAGATACTCAACAAGAGCCTCTTTGTTGTCCTCTGGTAAAGGAGTCTGATCAGTCATGCACCCCTGGACAGGGCTTATTAAGGACCTTGTTTTAACCCTTTCTCACCCATGGAGTGCTCTCTTCTCATCCTTCAAGACTCAGTTCAAATAACTTCTGTGAAACTCTTTACATCTCTTAATAATCTCTTCTGTCTCTGAACTTCAGGTATTCATTATTTTTACCATTGACGTGACTATTGATCATACTACTTTGTGGCATCTTTGTACTTTCTTTTTCTTGTTCTTAAGTTTTCATATATTTATGCCTTTTTTATTTAACTAATTGTTCTTTAAGAATGGGGGCCATGCTTAAATAAGGGTCTTAAACCAACCAATTACTTATAAGGACTAATTTCTTCAAATTTGTCATAGTATTTTGTGCTCAGAAACTGCTTAAACATGACTAAAGTAAAACAAAAGGAAGAGAATGTATCATTTTTCACCTTCCCTAAATATGGTGATATTGTGAAATTCGCCTGAGCCAGATACTTAGTTCAAAGCTTTTTATGTCTTCTTTCCTAGACAACAATGGTGGGTGAAGAGAAAATGTGTCTAAGAAAACGGCTGTCAAAGTCCGATGAAAATCTTGAGGAAAGTGAAGAGGAGAGAAACTCTTCAGAGGAGTCCCTAGAGACATCTAGTAATGGTGAGGCTTTTAATTTTTTTGAGGTGAATTAATGAAATAGAGAACAAATGTATGTTCTAGAACAGGGATTGACATCTCTTTAACTCTGTTTATTATAAATGAATATGTTGTGAGGCACTGTGTAAAGGTATAGAAGAGAACAATATGTTGAAAGGAGCACTTTGGTTGAAGTGCCAGTCACAGCCACCTTAGATACTACTGGTGACACTGATGTGTGACTTGCTGCACATCTCATAGAAGTGAGCTTTGTTGATGTATGTGGAGTTGGCAATGTATATTTTAATTTAGGATTTATATTACATAGAGTTTTATATATCTGGTAAAGAAGAAATTAGGAAATAAGCCCTTTCTTTTTAATTAATTCAACAGACGTGTTTTGGGTATCTACTATTTTAGATACCGTACATTCATTCATTCCTTCAGCCACCTAACTTATCAATAATTACCGATGCCCTGCTAGGTGCTGCGGCTACAGAGTGATCAATATGGTTCGTACAGTACGATGTGTTTGCCTTCATGGAGCTCTAAGTGAGCGAGTGAAATGAATGAGAACAGCCCCCCCCCAACGTAATTAGATTATTATGAATAAGTGCTACTAATTACTCTTCTACTAGATGTAATGAGCATAATGAGAGTAATTAGCAGACCACCTAACTTAATTCAGTAGTACGCTATCAATCTTGGGTGAGAAAGAGATTAGGGAGTTTTATTAGTTCTTCTATCCAAGTTTTCTTAATGCATCAATACAGATAAGAGTATGACACAACACTTGTTGTTAAGGTCAAGGTTGTGCTTAAGATCGATAGACCTGTAAACACAGCTCCAACTGATGTCATCTGTTGCCTCAGGATGTTTGTTTTTGCAATGACATTTGTATAGATTTGATTTCAACAAGGATTTGAAATTTGAAGCTTTTTTGGCTAGCAGATAGGGGTGGAAGTTTCTGAGACAGGTTGTCTTTGGCATCCTGAGACTTCTTTCATACAGAAATGTTCTTTTGTTTTTCCTGTGTAAAATTTAATTAGAAAAATAGCAGCTGGATCCCACCAGGAATATAAGTGTTGCTGCTTAAATTTGCATAATGAAGGTTATTGATTTTTAGACTTTTAATTAGCTATTTATGAAATATTTATATTGCATATGGGCTAGTTTTAGTGTGATCTAAAATGTAAAATTTGTGCAAAGGTTATAAGCCAACATTGGGTAGAGACCTACCCCTTCCATGATTTAGGGACTGAGTAATAATAATCTGTGTTGTCTGTCTTGGAGACAGAAAAATTACTTTTCTTTGAAACTTGCTGTCACTAGATTCACTTTTCTCTTTATGTCCCAGTTTTATTTTTTTTTTGTGAGGAAGATTAACCGTAAGCTAACATCTGTTGCCAATCTTCCTCTTTTTGCTTGAGGAAGGTGGTCCCTGAGCTAACATCTGTGCCAGTCTTGTTCTACTTTTTGTCCGTGGCCGCCACTACAGCATGGCTTGATGAGCAGCGTGTAGGTCTGTGCTCAGGATCCAAACCTACCAACGCAGGGCCACTGAAGCAGAGCACACGAACTTAACCCAGTACGCCACTGGGCTGGCCCCTGTATGTCCCAGTTTTTAAAAATCTTTTACAAATTATTCTAATTTCTACATATTTTCATTACTCCTTATTGTGTTAGTTCATTGTTTTAATCATTCCAGGTTTTAAGGCAGATATTAAAAATTGAATTGTTTAGCCAAAAACAAGAAGTATGAGCGCCCCCTTGATTTAATGTACGTGATGCTGATCTGAAAATAGAATATGTTTCTTCGCTTGAACATTTGTTCACTTTGGGGAATAAGCAGACAGGTAAAATACGGCCTTTGAGTAGCAAGGGCTTCAAGGACACCAAGCCACGCCAATCAATCATTGTGGCCCACCAGCCAGAACCAGGGGCATCTGCACTGCCTGGGAGCTTGTTAGAAATGCCCCACCTCACATTTATTGAATAAAAATTTCATTTTAATAAGGTTCCAAGGTGATTCATATGCAGGTTAAAGTTTGAGACACAGTTCTTAGTGGCAGTTCTCAATTGGGGTGTGTTAGAATCCTTCAGAGAAACAGAACCAATAGGATATATACAGATATATAGGAAGATTTATTATGAGGGTTTGGCTCTGTCTGCCATCTGCACGTTAGATGCCCAGGGAAGCCAATGGTGCAGTTCCAGTCCAAACCCAAAATCTTCAAAGACCTGAGAATCAGGGATGTGATGGTGTAAGTCCCCAGTCTGAAGGTCGGAGAACTAGGGCAGGAGAAGATGGATGTCCCAGTCCAAGCAAGAGTGCAAATTCGGGGCCGGCCTGGTGGCGCAGCTGTTTAGTTCGCACGTTGTGCTTCGGTGGCCTGGGGTTTGCTGGTTCGCATCCCGGGTGCGGACGTGGCACCACTTGGTAAGCCATGCTGTGGTAGGCGTCCCACATATAAAGTAGAGGAAGATGGGCACGGATGTTGGCTCAGGGCCAGTCTTCCTCAGCAAAAAGGAGGATTGGCAGCAGTTAGCTCAGGGCTAATCTTCCTCAAAAAAAAAAAAAAAATTCGCCAGACCTCTGCTTTTTGTTCTACTCAGGCCCTGCTGTGTTGGGGAGGGTCTACTGATTCAAATGCTCATCCCTTCTGGAAACACCCTCACAGGCACAGGCAGAAATAATGTTTTACCAGCTGTCTGGGCATCCCTTAGCCCAGTCAAGTTGACACATAAAATTAACCATCAGAGGTTGTGCACAAATCCCTGTAGAAAGAAAAGAAATCATCCAACAAACCAGAACAGTTTCTTGGACCCCATTATAGATCTACTGAATCTGAATCTCAGTGCGAGGCTGCAGGAATGTTAAGTTTGAAAACCTTGCTGGATAGTACTGATTGGCATCGCAAGTTAAGGAGCAGTACCGTCAAGAGCTCTGAGACCTAACTGTCTTGTGATATGTCACTTTGACGTAGCTCGTGACATAGTCCAAAGGATGTTTTTCATTGAACTTGTGTAATTCTTGAATTCTTATTCTCTGGTTCCTAAATCTAGTAACCTATGGGTAGGATGATTTTATGTCTGAATTTGCTCAGGTTAGTCTCAGTTTTCCCTGTGTCCAGTGTAATTCTGTGTGTTGCCTCCTTGCATTCTCAGAAGTGTCCCAGTTTGTTTGATAAATTATATGGTCACCCAGCCTTTAGGTTATTGAATTACATTTTCATAAGAGTATCTTTAATTTATCTAGTGCCTATTAGGTGAAATTATAATTAATTAGCTTTCTTGTAGTTTGTGACATTTGTTTGAAATAATACCAGTTCTGAAGACAACCTTTTGTCTAAATTGAAAGTAATGTTATCATTACCTGATTTTTTTTTTTTGAGGAAGATTAGCCCTGAGCTAACTGCTGCCAGTCCTCCTCTTTTTGCTGAGGAAGACTGGCCCTGAGCTAACATCCATGCCCATCTTCCTCTACTTTATATGTGGGACGCCTAACACAGCATGGCGTGCCAAGCGGTGCCATGTCCACACCTGGGATCCGAACTGGCCAATCCTGGGCCATGGAACGGAATGTGCGCACTTAACCGCTGTGCCACCAGGGCGGCCCCTCATTACCTGATTTTAAAAGTAATACATGCTTATGTAAAAAAGTTTTTATTGTGCTATGATGTACATGCACTATTCAGTTAATTCCAAATATGCAGAAAAGGATAAAAAAGAAAGCAGAGGGGCCAGCCTGGTGGTGCAGCAGTTAATTTTGCACATTCCGCTTCGGTGGCCCAGGGTTTACCAGTTTGGATCCCGGACATGGCACCACTTGTCAAGCCATGCTGTGGCAGGCATCCCATATATAAAGTAGAGGAAGATGGACATGGATGTTAGCTCAGGGCCAGTCTTCCTCAGCAAAAAGAGGAGGATTGGTGGCAGATGTTAGTTCAGGACTAATCTTCCTCAAAAAACAAAAAATTTTAATTTAAAAAAATTAAAAAGAAAGCAGAAAAGGCTCGAAATTCTGTCATTTGAGAAATGAATATGCGTCCTTCCAGATATGTTTTATTCCCATGAACTTATTAACATTTTACATAAATAGAATATTTTATACCTTCTTTAGTAACTCAGGTCTCTAACACATTGTGGACATCTTTCCAATGTTAAGTAGTAGATAATTCGCTACAAAGTATTTTATTTTGTATCTGTCATATACAATTTAATTGTTTTTCTGATGAATATTTAAGTTGTTTCTGTTTTTTTCTGCTATAAACAAATGGTAATGAACTTCTTTACAGATTTGTCAGATGCCTAAAGAGGGATTGCAGGGTCAGAGGATTTTTTCCAAAAATATTTATTTTGAGATATAGTACTGGATTGCAACGTTTACCTTATACTCTATAAACTTACCACTTCGTGTTTTTGTTGTTACTATGCCTGTTTAAATTTTAAAAATCTTATTTCTTCCTCACTGCCTCTTTGCATGACAGTGTACCTGCCTGTCCTTTCTGCTTTTCCTTTCTGATTTGCATCTCTTGTAATAGACTGTGGAATGGTCCGCTTCTAGGAGAAGTAAATAGAAGTTAGGGCTCTGCAATTTAACAGGAAAAGCTAAACTTTATTCTTCTCTAGACCCAGTATTCTGCCACTTACCAGTTCTATCTTTATGCTAGATATGAAAGTATAATTTAAGTAGAGATTGGTTTAGGCATTTTTTTTCTTCTTCTCCTCTTTGTTTTCTTTTCTCCTCTTGTTCTTTTTTCTCCTCCCTTCTCTCCCTTTGGCCCCTTCTCCTTTTCCTCTTTTTTCCTCCCGTTCCTCCTCATTTTTTTTATTGATTTTATTCACATAGTATAAAATTTGTCATTTTAAGATGTAGAATTCAGTGGTTGCCAGTATACATCATTACTTTTAATTGCAGAACATTTTTATCACCCCAAAAAGGAACCCCATGCCCATTCATTGTCACTCTCCATGCTCCCTTTCTCCCAGCCCTGGCAACTACTAAGCTGCTTCCTGTCATT